GAAGCCTTACGATGCCGAGGCTTGTGTCAAGGCACTCTTTGATCCTCGGGGGGATTTGGGGGTTGGGGAAGGGGGTGGTGGTGGAAGCGTCTGCAGTGCCCCCTAGAAATCCCGGCTGGTCTGTTAACAGCGCGAGGTTGCTTACCTTCCAAGCGTTTCCCTTAGAAATAAGTAAAGGTCAGTGCGGTTCCTTTGCGATGGTGCATCTCTCTCGGCTCACTTCTGCAAGCTTGCAGAGGAACCAGCCGCTCTCGCAAGAGCATCTGCTGCAAGATAACACAGCGAGGAGGGTTTGAAAAAAGGGGAAAAAATATCTTCCCGGAGACCCCCAAGCACTATCAACGCCTTTTTTTCTCTCTCTCTCTTCTTCCTCGTTAAATTTCGCAGTCCAACATCAATTCATTCGGGAGTCGCGGAGGCAATTCCAATGCCAGGGTAACAGAGCAGAAGCCACGCAGCCCTTGGAAACGTCCTCGTTTACTCAACTCCCTCCAGTGGGATCCCAGATCCGATGGAAAAATAAAGGAAAGGAGGGCGGGAGGCTGTTGTAGGGAGGAAGGAGGAGGAAAAGGGGGTAGGTGGCAGCGGCGGCGGCGGGGCTGCCGCTTTGGCGAGTCCCGCTTGCAAACCTGGCTCCCAGAGCCCTTCGCTTGGAAGCATTTTCTGTCGTTTTCCTCCTCTCCCCCCCCCCCCCTTTCCCGGGTTTGCAGACCGGGCGCTTCGGGGTGGGGAAGCTGCCTTTCCTCCTACTTTAGGCAATGCACGGGAGAAAGGAGAGCGCAGCGTGCCGACAGCCTGTCGGTTCGGTGCCGAGCGGGAGTAGGGACTGTGCCAAGGCACGCGCGCCCTCGCGCGCCGCCGCCGCCTGGCGCCGGGGAAAAAAAAGAAGGGACCGGGGGTGGGGAAATTGCCGCTGGTTCTCCACTAGGGAGAGTTGCCGGCTCCTTCCGACGCCGGTGGACTTGTTGAGTTTGGGGGGGCGAGCAAGGTCCTTCAAGCGGCGACTCTTGGGGAGCGGAGAGGCGTCGGAAACAGCGATGCCGCACCGGTGCAAACGGCTCCAAACTCTTGACTCCCTCCACCCCTCGAAAGAGCCCGTCTTATTATTTTTTTATTGAAAATTTTGGAAAAAAAAAAAACTTTTACGAATG